TACAGAAGAAGGGATGCATTATGAAAGTCACAGATACTCAGCTACTGATCTGATTTACCAAGAATGGATGATTTCTGACCTTTGACTGTTCCTCAGGAAGGAGGGTTATCGTGTGGATACAACTGTTTACAACAGCCCTTGCTGGCTCAGAAAAGGCAATGCAGGCTTTGCCTTTCCCTGGAGAATCCAGCCCATAGGACTGGGAGCCTAAATGTTGGTCCTGCAATGGCACACTGAGAAACCAAACTGAGTTACTGATACCTGCCCTGCCAAAGGCCGTGCTGCTTCCCATGGCCTTTCAGAAGAGTGCCTTGCAATGACATCTTGTTCTGTTTGTATTTCTCCACAGAAGTTGATGACGGCGGTGATTATGTCGATGTCTTACCCTGAAGGATCTGCACCTGAAGGTTTGGGAAGCTGCCATTCCAGGATGTGCCCTGGTGCAGTGCCTCTGCTGGGGAGAGCTTCCAGCTGGGTATTCCTGATCTGGAATTACCCTCCTCCTTTTGCAGACCAAGCAAGCTACTATGCATGTTTGCTCAGCAATAAAAGAAGTACTTTTTGTTAAACACAAACACAAACACACACGCACATAGGTACGGGGGAAGGCATCCATGGATGTGTCTTCTGGTGATTTTTAGCCAGCAAATTGTCCAAGATGTTGACTGCTAGAGTGAGCATTCTGTTAGAAGGCAGCAATATAAATACATGAAATGAATAGGCATAAAGCAGTAATTCATAGCAGAATATATAGGTGTTGATAAAAACCATGTATGACAAAACTATTAGCATTTTAAGATGCTTTAAAACCCCCAAACTCTGTTATTTTGCACATGATTCATGTTACCTCATTGTTGGAGGAATGAACAGTATTTCAGCAATCTCAAGGAATACTAGTAGTCTGTCATTTGAATAATGCAAATTAAAACAAAAATGCTGTGTTATATCCATGACATAAAAAAATAACCAACCAGAGGAAAACAGTTTGAAATACTTCTAAGATTGAGGAACAGCTCTGGAAGATTACAAGAAGACTACAAGTTCTACATAAATGTCAGCATGAACACATCCTTTTTTTTAATGGATTCTGTACATATGGGAATGCTTACTCTGTTTCATTTTCTACTGCCATTAGTTCTGTATTATGTACGTCTTTTGTTGTTTGTTTGTTTTTGTTGTTTTTTTATGCAAGAATTTGCTTTAATAATAACCCCAAACTTAAATATTTAATAAATACTTCAGTTCTGAAGGTGGCCTGCTACTAGCAGCCACAGTCAAAACTGGAATGTATGTCTTGACTCTTCCAGTCACTACTACAGACTCGCTCACCATTTGAGACTGTGAGGAAGACATTTGTATTGGTTGTATGTTTAAGACCCTTCACAAATTATTTTTGTATTTTAATGGGTAATGCTAGTTAGATTTTTTTTTCTATTATGTTTCTCTCACACTATGTGTCAAAGCAGTGCTTTGGACTTCATTATGAATTTAACAGTGTTGCAGAGTTTTTGGCTCCAGGCTCAACTAGTTTTTGTAGTGTGAAAGAGACAAAAAAAAAAACAACCTAGACTATTAACTAACCCTAGCAATGCCAAGAAATACTAAAATATGTGTCCATAACTTCATTAATTGAAAAGAAAGCAGTTGTCCATGAAAAAATGATAACTCTGGGACATAAACACCCCAGCCCTTGCTCTGTAGAAGCACACAGCTGACATGTCTCTTCACTTGCAGAATCCAGCAGCCTTTCTGATAGCAAATTATCACAGGTTGCAGACTGAGGAACTGCTGTGCTGACACACCCTGCCTCCAGCAGTATGTTGTTTGTCCTGTTAACAGTAGAGGGACATACAGAGGCCAATACAGATGTTCTTAAACATATTTGCAGACCTAATATGGCAGAAAACAATTCGTGCATGTGAAAAATGCCAATCACTTGGGGTTTTTTTTTAATTTTTAAAAGTTTAATAATAATAAAATGATTATAAAAATAGTAATGCAATTAGAGTAATAAAATTTAGAGTTAGGACAATTACAAGACAATAAACAGGAAAGAATTACGGACGTCTGGATGCTCTTGGACACTAAGTCACAAAAAGCATCCCTTGTGAACAAAGGAATAACCTTAAAAGCAATAGCCTGTTGCATATTCATATATCTCATACATTAAGAACTTTTCTGTTTTTTGTCAACTTCTTAATCCTGTTGGTTCCACAGAGATGGAGAGAAGGTGAAAAAATGTTTGTCTTTTCTGATAAGGAGGCAGTAACTTTTTATGGGCCCCCTTCGCTGACATCTCTGTGTCTTCGAACAGTTTCTTGATTATCTCATCTTCTCGCTTGAGCTTGTAACAAATTCTATATCACAGAGTTTCTATTTTAACATTATATTGTAACCTATAACTACATTTATCACACTACTTAAGAGAATTAATACAGCCTAACTTTCTAACATTACACATATAATATTTACTGTAACATTTGCAAAAAGCCAATCATAAAATATGCATTTTTCACAGTGCACAAGTTGAGAAAACACGTTCAAAAGCTTCACGCATGCCAACATGTGAAAGGTGGGTGGGTGTTTGTCCACGTTGGGTTGAGCAGTTGGGGAACCTCTTGTATCTCCTGTACCTCAAACTTTGAGCACATGGTGTAAGGAAGAACATGGTCCAACAAGGGCAGGGCAGGTTTGGTGCTGGGTGTGTGACACACACACCACCCTCTTGGGCCCTGCAGTTCTTATAGGGAATTTTCTGCTCCAGGCAAGGATTTCAGCCATCCGCCTTTTCTTTCTATTCTGAGTCCCACATATTCATAAAGTTCTTTTCTCTGAGCCGGGGTTGAACAATCCAGGTCCAGGTGTGGAAGATTTTCCTGATGGTTACAGGAAGAGTGGCTATCAGCCCAGAGGTCTCCAGTGATCCCAATTTTGGGTCGTTGCCAGGATGATCAGCTCCCAGGTATTCCAATATTGCCTTTTGGGACAGCCCATCTCCAGACTAGCCACATGTATTAATGTATTAGATTGTAAATGAGGCATTATCCCCAAGAACCAGCTCTGGTGAAACCAAATACGGGGGCAGCTCACAGTGCTGGCGTGTGTATTTTGTAATAACTAAATATTATACATGCTGTGAAAAATTCATATGTTATGATTGGCTTTTCGCAAATATTACAATGAATATTATATGTGTAATGCTAGAAAGTTACGCTGTATTAATTCTCTTAAGTAGTGTGTTAAATATAGTTTTAGGTTCGAACATAACGTAAAAATAGAGACTATGTATGTAGTTTTTTGGGTTTTTTTTTGGGAATGAGATACTTGCTTTGAGGAACACCTAAATCTTCCAAAGGAGAGGAATTTATGGTTTTCTTATCAGAAGCCAATTTCTTCAGGCCTTGCTCAGACTCAAAGATGCCATGGGTATTAAAGGAAACAGCTGACATACAACAGAGAGTTTTTGTTTTAAATAGAATATATGCATAACCATGAAGGACATTTGAATATGCAACAAATGCATTGTTTTAAGGGTGATTCCTTTATTCAAAAGACATGTTTTTCATGACTTAAGTGTCCGAGAGCATCTGTACGTCCATAATTCTTTGCTTTTTATTTTATTATTGTCTTGTAATTGTCCTAACTCTAAACTTTATTACTCTAATCGTATTACTATTTTTAGAAACATTTTATTATTATTAAACTTTTAAAATTTTAAAAACCAAGCGATTGGTGTTTTTCACACATGCCAAATCATATTTTCCTTAATTCAATATAACAATGTTAATTGGTGCAAATTATAATCATACATGTTATCAATGAAAATTGATTCAGCCAAATTAAAAATAAAAATAGTTTTATTAGTGATCAAATTTTATCTAGCCAGCCACGGGGAAAAAAAAAAAAACACAGTGCTGAGCCCGGGGATGGATCTTGGGTGTGCAACAAGGAGTCAGCCTCAGCATAGGTTTTCCTCTGTGCCCACACACCTCCATCCTGACACAAGCGGGTTTTATAGGGAAAATTCCGCCTGAGGTCAAGATTTCAGCAATCAGTCTTTTCTTCCTTTTAGAGTCCATAGGTTAATAAGATTTTCTTTTTTGGTGATGAGGAAGAACAATTCAGTGTCCGGAGTTGTTGAATCCCTTGATGAAATTTATGGGAACGCTGCATTCACATGTTTCTGCCCGAGGATTTCTATATTTCTATAATATACATCTCGGGTAATTCACGCAATGATCAGCACCCGGGCATCCCTGTATCCTTCCAGCCATGGCCCATCTCCTGACGAGCTACATCTTTTTACGTATAAATCAGGTTTCAACATACATCAGGTTTCGCCTGCGAGGGTGGGAAGGCTTCTAATACAAACAAGCATAATCTAAGTACCCAATATTACACATTTCATACAAGGAATGGCGCGAATTCTGTTTACTATACATATCAACGGGGGACTAGAACGACAGCAGGAAGGCGAGGCAGCGCTGCGGGCGCCAGCTGGGAAGGGACGGCAGCTCCAAAAGAAGCTCCAACACGAGGCGGCCCCCTCAGAGGCTGGGCGGCTCCGCTCCCACCGGCCACACAGAGCTCCGCTTAGGAAAATCCTCCCTGTGGATCGCCGCGATCCACGCGTGAGCCCCACAGCCGCCCTCAGCGCTCCGCACCGCCCGGACCCCGCGGCGCCGCCGCCGCCATCTTGGTTAAGGGAGGCCAGGCCGGGCAGCGGCCGCTGCCCGGCCTGGCCTCCCTTAACCAAGATGGCGGCGGCGGCGCCTCTCCGCCCCTCACCGCCCGCCTCACGCCGCGGCCGCTGCCCGGCCTGGCCTCCCTTAACCAAGATGGCGGCGGCGGCGTCTCTTCGCCCCTCACCGCTCGCCTCACGCCGCGGCCGCTGCCCGGCCTGGCGTCCCTTAACCAAGATGGCGGCGGCGGCGTCGCCTCCCGTGCTGCCTCGCGTGACGATGGCGGCGGCGGGAAATGCGAGTGAGGCGGCGGCGGAGCGGCGGAGGGGCCGGGCCGCCATGGACCCCCCGAGCTGCATGAAGGCGCTGCTGCTCGCCGCCGCGGAGCACCGCGCCGCCAGGACGGCGCACAGCGCCGCGCTGCTGCAGCGCAGCCTGGAGGTGGGAGCCGCGCCCGCGCCGGGGCCGCGGGAGGGTGGCGGTGGGGCCCGCTGTTAGCATGTTTTACGGTGTGTTTATAAAGGTGTGTTGCGGGTCTGCAGTCGCCCAGCCAAGCAGATAGTTTATGATATTGAGAGGCTTAATTCTTTTATTTCTCCCCTGTGAAAAATGCTAATCACTTGGTTTTTACAATTTTAAACGAATAATATAATAATAATAATAATAATAATAATAATAATAATAATGTTATAAAAATAGCAATACAATTACAACAATAAAGTTTAGAGTTAGGACAATTACAAGACAAAAGAACTATGGACGTTTGGATGCTCTTGGATACTAAGTTACGAAAAGTATGCTTTAGGATCAAAGGAATTGCTTTTAAAACAATATAAACCCTTTATAAGAAGAGGCCAAAAATTATATAAACCTTTACACAGGTATATATATGTAGACATACACACACATATATATATATGTCTACACAGGTAGACATGATTTATATTTTGCACATGGGAGACACATAATGTTGGTTTTGTCCATTCCCTCTGTATCTCTTTACAAGGGATATAGAGAAGAAACCAAAGCGAGACTCTCACATAAACGTTCTAGCAATTAAAATAAACCTGTATTTGAAAAAGGTAACTTGGAGATAAATTCAAAGGCCACCACATAAATTGTACACAAAGCTGTACCTGAAGATCAGGGAAATGCACTGGCCCACCTCCTTAGTAAAAAAACACATTTAAATACGTGTTGCACGGAACTGGAAAACTCCAGATATAAGACCAGTTCGTCATTCATACGCTATTTATATATCCTTGTTGCATATTTATATATCTTTTATGGTTATGCGTACATTTTATTTAAAACAAGAAACTTTGTTTGTTGTATGTTAATTGTTTGTTTTAATTTTTATGGCATCTTTGAGTTTGAGTAAGGCTTGAAGAAATTAGGCTTTTTTGATAAGAAGCTATAAATTCCTCTCCTTTGGAAGATTTAGGTGTTTTTTGAAGTGAGTATCTTATTCTTAAAAAAAACTCCCCTCCTACATACATAGTTCTCTATTTCAACATTATGTTGGAACTTAAAACTATATTTAACACACTACTTAAGAGAATTAATACAGCATAACTTTCTAACATTACACATATAATATTTATTGTAATATTTGCGAAAAGCCAATCAAAAAATATTCACTTTTCACACCCCCTAAATTCTGGCCCGCATGAATAGTTTCACTGCTTAAGTAGTGTATGAATGATGAACTGGTCTTATATCTGGAGTTTTCCAGTTCCGTGCAACACGTATTTAAACATGTTTTTTACTAAGGAGGTGTGCCAATGCATTTCCCTGATCTTCAGGTACAGCTTTGTGTACAATTTATGTGGTGGCCTTTGAATTTATCTCCAAGTTACCTTTTTCAAATACAGGTTTATTTTAATTGCTAGAACGTTCATGTGAGAGTTAGTATCTCGATTTGGTTTCTTCACTGTATCCCTTTTAAAAAGATACAGAGGGAATGGACAAAACCAACATTATGTGTCTCCCATATGCAAAATATAAATCATGTCTACCTGTATTGGTGTAAAGGTATATATAATTTTTGGCCTCTTCTTATATAGGGTTCCCCTAGCTCAATTTCCATTTTTGCATCCCCATCACAGAGTCCTCCCAGAACAGCACTGACTGCCAGGCCTTTGGAAGGCAGGCTGATTGCTACGTGTTGTGCCATCTGTTGGGTTGTGCTTTCAAAATAAATAAACATGGTACTTTCTAAGCATAAAGGAATGAAAAACATATTTTTTCATTTTTTTTTCCTAGCAGATGTGAACGTAAATGTCCCAGTAGAATGACACTTACATTCTCAGCTTGTCAAGTAGGACATGATCTATTTCATGCAACTCTGTGCTGAGACTTCTGTGTCAATTATTTGTTGCAGTTGAGTAAGGAAGGTTGTTTTTCTCTTGTCATCTCCAGGTTATCTCTGGACTGAAGCTTACCCGGATTTTTGCTTCAAACCAGATTCTACCAAGTGAATGTCTCAGTTGCCTTGTAGAGCTCCTGGAGGACTCTAATATAAACCCTTCTCTGGTCTTGTCTGTGGTTACTTTGTTGTCACAGCTAGGTAAGATTGGCATCTGAACATTTTATCTTGTGTCTGGGCAAGGGAAGATAAGATAGGTGCTGATTCTGTGTTGTGGGTGATTAATGTCTTGGAAGCATGAGGTATGAAAGATGAAGTATTTTGCATTGTAGTGGAGTGCTTGGCTAAGACACTTGTTAAGAAGTTTTGCAGTGAGAAGGAGATTTGAAGTCATCCCTGTGAATGACAATGATCATGCTTGTCAGAATTTGTTTATCCACTGGATAGGGTGAGAAATTATTCTCTTGTTCTTTATTTTTGGAGCTGGAAAAGACTACTTTTTTAATCAAGTGAGAAACCTGGCCAGGGTGTGCAAGGATAGGGAGAAATGGTGTCACATCCTCTCTTGCAATAATAATCAGTCAGGACTCGGTGTCCTCATGCAGAAAAGCCAATTCTTTATTCACATAACTATTTTTACATGGTTTTCACAGACCTTGTGTTCAACTCTAATTGGCTAGTAGCTTTCTTGCTCCTTAACTTATTGGTTAGAAAGTGCTTGTGTGTGAGGGTGTTAAGGCTCTCTGCATCTACAGCTGTTTACATATTTCTTTGGTGGAGTCTCATGGGACAGATCTATTGTTTGTGCAGGTGCCACTTATTCTTCTCTCTAAGAATGGGTTGTTATGCAAACAAATTCTCATTCTTAGGATTTCTTCACATGAGAACCTACAAGGTACGCCTTGCTTTAGCTAGAGTAGCAGGGCCTAAACCATCTTTTACAAAACCTTTATTTTATAACATCTTTTACCTGTCTGCAATAATCCTCAACTGTCATCACCTCAGTTTACCTCTCCCACTGGAGTGTTTGCTGGCATTGTGGGCTCTCCAATAGCCTGGCCTATATGCATCAAATTTCCCAGCTGCAAAAGAGGTTCTACTGCATTTTGTTTGTGTATCGAGATGCTTTTTTTGGTGTCTTGTTCCCCCCATCTATTTCACAGAAATGGAACTTCATTGTCCAGGGAGCTCTGTGCTCAGAGCACAACCTACATATATAGAGAAGAATTATCCCATCATTGTTTAGTTTCTCATCATATATGAGTAGTTATTCAAGATTTGAGTCCTTTATGATGCTCCCTTGTTTATCTTCTCTGATTTATGGAGTTTTAGCCTCATTGAGCTTCCTTTTATGTTTTTGGAACAATTACTGTAAAATTATATTTGTCATGGGGTTCGGTCTGGAAAATTTTAAGAATTAAGTCCTCTTCCAAATGATCTATTGCTCTACCTGTTTTGCTACAACTGTTTAAGGATTGCCTAAGCAGAAGTGGCTTCTATTTATTTATTTCACTAATGCTAGGTAACCCTATCAAGTTACCAGTTTGAGTCTACCTTTCCACCATAGCATGAGACAAAAAATTGAGCTCATTGAGTTTAAGATCCAAGTCTTTGAAGTGCAGGTTTCAAGATCTCAGAACTGTAATTTGGTAGGTAGGAAGTAGACTATTCTTTCAGTGTCGAAGCATCTTAAGGAGATGTATTAGTGTTATAATTAATTGTATGTCCACAAGTGAGGTGGAGAGGCAAGAGCATAGGAGCTGTCATTTGTTTGTAGTTACCTTTAAAACATACATGAAGAACTGCTTAGAGACTTTGGCTTCTGCTTCAACTGGTATCTAATACAACACTTTATTTTGTTGATAATTCCCAAATTCCAGCTTTAGACACGGAGACAAGAGAAGCTCTCCAGGACACCTACAATCTGACCAGTGTGCTGGCAGGAGTGGTTCATCGAAGTTCTACTAATCTGAGTGACCCAGTCTTATTAGAGGTAAAGGAGCTAATGCTTCATAGTTTTTGGCTACTGTTGCATAATTTACATTATACTGTAATAACCCTTCAAAAGCTCTATTGGAAATAATGTGTCAAGGGAAAGTTGATCTTAGTTGTCTATTTGCTGTATGAGGTGGATATGACAGGAATTTAACAATTTACAGAGTTCTGTGTACTCTCTTTAATCTTACTGTATTTCTCACCTGCTCTAGTCAAAGAACCCCAAAAAATCCCATAAAGCAAAAATAACAACCAACCAAAAAAAATGCTGCTTTCTAAAAGTTATTTCAAGAAATAATTTTTCTTGAAATTATCAAGAAAAATCAAGCTCACTGCTTGAGAGCTCAGAAGATTGATTTCCAGTTCAGGTATCTGTTTCTCCTGACACAAGCCTGGAGATTATTTTGTCTTAGGAGTACTTTGACAGGTAACTGTGAAGGAGTGAAAGGAAAGCTGTGGCTGCCCATTTTCATGGGAGGTTTGCAGAGGATATGTGGCCTCCTTTTTTCTGGTCAGTGCCATCTGCCAGTGAATGCCAAGTGCTGTGCTAATCAAAGCTTACAGGGAATGTCTGACTATCAGTTTGAACTCGCCAATTTTAACCCATCCTTAAAGTTTTCTTTATTTTTTTTCAAATATGCACAGGTTTTCCTCTAAGCTTTCAGCAAGTACTTGTCACTTGTCTCTTTCTGAAAAACAGAAAATTAATTTACCAGTAGTGCTGTGGCTCTTGTTCTGTGGAAAATAAATCAGGCATCCAGTAAAGTTCCCCTTTCTTGTGGTTTGCATATTTCTCAAAGCATTAGGAGTACCACAAGATCTAGGGATCCAAGTGACTCGCCAGTCAATAGGAGAGACTTTGTAGTCACCAGATAGATGCAGTCTTAAGACCTTGAAGCTCTTAGATATCTGAATGGTTAGGTTTTGTTTTAACTGCTAACCTCTTCTGTGATTTTTGTCATGTTTGAGTGTATTGACTTCAGTTACGTGCCAGAAGAGTGCTGTATTAAGGTCTTTACTACTCTTAGATCTGTTGGCAGTCTTTAGAGCAAACCTGTTTTCCTGTAGGCATCCTTTCTACCAGAGGTTGCAAAGTGCTTTTTTGGATTTTGATGAGACTTGTAGACCTTTCAGTAGGACAAAGCCCATTTATCACTGACAGAATGGAGAACTTGCTGGTGAGGCAAATGTGGAGGGTTGAATGTGATGCCTTGAGGGGCTGACCTGGAACAGAACCTATACAGAGCTAAAAAATAAAGAAGCTATGTATTAAAAGGCTTTAAAAGGATACACCTTGGGCAGTGCAAGAGCCTGGCCAGGGCTACACCCAAGATGGACCCAAAATTATCACAAAATGGACAATCGGTCACAAAGGTTTCACACTTTTATAAGTTTTGATCCATTTACATATTGGGGTTAATTGTCCAATTACAGCATCAGGTTATGAAGTCCCATCCTCCATGTTTGCTCTCTTCAATTCACTATTGTTTATGCTTTTTGGGCCTGAAGCTTGTAACAGTTGTCCTTGGTTACCAAGCTGGAAAAGGATTGTTTTGTCCATCTTCCCTGTGAAGAGAACTTACTGACACTTAGTATGAAGCTCAGAGTTATACACCAAGGCAGTACAGAATCTGAAAAATATGAAAGCTAAAACTTAAGGCATCAAATGGGCTGAAAAGATAACTCCTCTGTCAAAATAGAATCTTAATAATCTTTTTGGGCTTTTGCTAAGTACATCAGTATGTTAGGACATTACAGTGTGCTTGCAGCAGCTTGTGTAATTGTTATGCTAATGTTAGAGTCTGAAAATTAATTCACTTGTGGTGTATTGATTTGTCCTCTCAGCTTCATCTTTTGTAGCATTCCTCCTGAGATGGTGTAGGGGAAGCATGTGAACAGTTTTCTGTTTCCTCAGGGTATTCAGTTGCTGCAGAGACTAACCTACAACGTTCCCATCTTTTGTGCTGGTGCCAACATCGATGGATTAATTTTGTTTCTAATGCATCGTGTGTAAGTGTGTACTCAGTGTCTTTTTTTATGAGAAACAGAAAGCTAAGTTTCTAAACTTTCTGAAGGCCATTAGAGTACTGTACTAAGCTGGTCTCCAAAGTGAGCTGTGCTCTGAAGTTAACAGACTTTTCTTTGAAAACCGTGTACTTGTTACAGATTGTCAAATGCTGTGACTGTGGGACTTCAAGTGATGGAGTATTAATTGGCCTCAGCTCACCTCCACACCTCTGGGAGCTTACAAAGAGAAAAGCCAGGAGGGAATTCATCCTTGTCACTAGGAGCAGACTTGTTAGATTAATAAATATATGATTCAAGTGCAACTTATATGTAATAAACAACCTCTGATAGCAGTGATCTCTGATACTTTGGGGTTTTTTCAGATGTACTCAGTTAAAAGCTGCCTACACTGCATGGATGACAATCTGATTTTTGCTTTGCATGGCAAAATGGTGTCTCATTAAAAAACAAACTCTTGCCAAGACACAAAATATAAGTTCCCAACCACCCAGCTCTCCCAGCCCCCACCCTACAATTTCTTGTGATTAAATTCAGGATGCTTTGATGAAAATATCTTTTGGGCTTTTCTTTTAAGTCAATCCACTGAAGATGAGTTAACAATACCGTGTTTGGGACTCCTGGCAAACCTCTGTCGTCACAACTTGTCTGTTCAAAGTCAGATAAAATCTTTGGTAAGAGCTCTGCTTTTGTGTCATGATTCTCTGGCTTTATGGTAAGAGTTAATTGACTCTAGGTAATTACCTTAGTACTTCTTAAACTTTCTTTCAGCGGTGATAACCCTGACCTGCTTGTTCTGCCCAGTGGGCAGTTGTTTCTCCCATGTTGGAGAAAATAATCAGTAGAACAGGAAGTTGTGTATCCTCTTTCCCTTGGTACATTGCTTTGTTGTTGCCCTGGCTTGTATTATGTGTTTGGTTTTTGCAACTGTTCTCTGCAGCTGAAAAGTGGTTTTAAAATTTGATCATTCTTTCATAGAAAAAACTATGTCATTAAAACATAAAGGCTGTAGATGGATTTTGGTAAGCAAAAAGATTTGCCTTTCAAAAGAAAGATCAGTAGAATAGCACTGATCTTCATGTCAGGGTCCTTGAATCCTCAAATACATATACATATCTGAACTGCTTGGTTCCTGTGTCTTCATAAATCAGTGCAAACATTTTATTTTTTAATTCAGAAAGAGAAATTCATCTACATAAAAGCAAATGTTGTTCTGTTTACCTTGGAAGAGAGGCAGGGGGAAAAAAAAAAAAAAAAAAAAGAGAAGCTATTGTCAGATATGATCATTAATCAGAAAAGGGATAGGAGTCAATTTTCAGTGATTATTTTCTTTTATAGGCTTTAGCAAAATGACTTTCTCATCTTTCTTTAAAATAATGATGGAATTTCTTCCTTGGTTGGTTCTCTGTTGTTTTGGGGTGTTTTTTCTCATGTTTTCTTATACAGGTTGAAAAGAGAGCATTAACATCAATGCCAATATTGTGCAGTAGAACAATGAAATTACTTTCCTGGAGAACTGTTATCATACTAACTGATTTTTGTATTATTCATTATTTGTATGGCTTATGCATAAATATGTCAAACCTGTAAATTTTGTGGGATGGTAATACCTTTGTTTCTCCTTTTTGCTGTAGAATAATGTGAAGAGTTTCTATCGTACCTTAATAAGTTTCTTGGCCCACAGCAGTTTGACTATGGTTGTGTTTGCACTTTCAATATTATCAAGCCTTACCTTAAATGAAGAAGTAGGAGAAAAAGTAAGTGTGTCTTTGAAGTTGTTTCTCTTCTTAAGTTGTAGATAAAACCAATTGTCACACTCGCCAAATAAATTTCTAATTCCAGCCAGTTTCAATGAGCAAGACACCCCAGTGAAGTATGTGCCTGTATGTAACTTTCTTCTTCCTTTCAGCTTTTTCATGCTAGAAACATCCATCAGACATTTCAGTTAATATTCAATATTGTTGTAAATGGAGATACTCTAACAAGAAAATATTCTGTTGATTTACTCATGGATCTTATGAAGAACCCCAAAGTTGCAGATTATCTTACCAGGTATGGCTCCATTCCCTAAAAGTATTTTTCCTAAGCTCTAGTTCAGTTTCTTTGCTGTAAGCTATTTGAATTCTAAACCAAACACTAGGAAAAAAAATCCCAAGATGCTTTTTGAATGTTGCTAGTTGATTATGATTATAACTGCTATATCTGAACCTAAAGGATTGCTGGGTTACTAGTTTGACACAGAAGTGTGACTTAAAACCTGTTTTTTGAATTGTCACTGAAGGAATATTGAATACCCTGTTCTGTAATGTTTTGTCTGGACAGTGTTGGTAGTCAGACAACAAGATGAGTAGCTATCCTGCCTTTTACAGTGTTACATAATCCTAAAGTGGAATAGTATTGTTGACGTTTCAAGAAATAATCATTTTATGGGAGGGGGGTATTAGAGTGGTTTCTTGGAGAGCTTGACTAATAGTTCTGCAAATTCTGCTAATTTAGATGCTGATTTTCAATCTAAATCAAGCAGTAAAAATAGATGAAAAATCATAGCTTATTTTAAGGAATTTGCTTTCATTCCTAGTGATAAATAAGTTTAAATATTTTTAATGCTTGTGCTGTTTCAAATAGAAATTAAGTTATCAAAACCATCAATGTACTTGAAGTGTTTGGGATAAGGAGGAGAATAGGGCACTTTGATTCATCACTTGGTGTAAATGCCTAAATGTGCTGAAATTTCAGTTTTCTAATTTTTTTTCTTCTCTATGCATGCTGTAGATACAAGCACTTCACCTCTTGCCTCGGTCAAGTATTAGATCTTCTTCATGGAAGGGACCCTGATTCATCAGCTAAGGTATTTATTTTTCAGTTAAAGGCTAAGAGGCTACATTCCTAATCTAGTTTCTCATCTGTTATTATAAATAGGTTCTTTGTGTACAAGGGTTGGTGATGAAATACACTGTCTTCAGAACTTTTAAATGACCTAGAGAATTCATCAAGTTTATATTTTGTAGTTATTCAAAAGGCTGTCAGGTTGAATTTGTAATGTAGGGGTTTTTGTGTGTCTGCTTTCAGGCAACAGATGTAAAGGCAAAAAGCCAATATAAACACCTTTCGTGCTTTGGCTAATAAGAAATTTTGGGATCTACCAGGAATGCAGTGTATCCCACTTTGCTTTGATCAGGAAACCCTGATGCTAATTTCAGCTATGTAGGAATAAGTGTTCTCACCTTAGCTGAACAAAGAGATGCCACTTCTGTTTAAGCAGTGAACTGTTACATTCAGCTTTGTGTTGCTACCACCTTATGTAACTAAACATTGGCTATCTGTCACTAAAGGCTAAAATATAAAATGTGAAAATGTTGGGGATAAATATATCTGTGAAACAGATCTGGAGCTTTTTCCTATGAATGTGTTACACATCCTAGTTAATAATAGATGCTACTATTTCTCTCTGTGTAGTTTTGCTGTCGTTGATTTGGTTTATTTAGAGAGGCATGTTGACATGGAGCTTTCCAGGGTGGTTTTCTCTTTGTGCATGCTCAGAAAATGGATGTGCATCCATTCCTGTCTCAGAAGGTTTTCTCTTTGACAGCTTTCTTCATGCTGAGTGTATACATGTTTGTACTTTTGCTGTATCACTAGTCAGCAGTCATGTCAGAAGAAAATAATGCAATACACAGAATACTGTCACAAGCCTTCACCAGTCCAATGAACTGTTTCTGCTGCTGACTTGGCTTTAAAGAAAGAAAATTATTCCTGAGAAAACTTTCAAGTGCTATAAAAGGAGTTGCATAGAACTTGCATATCTCTTTAGATTTGTTATGGGAGCTGCAGTTTCTGTGTAAGTTCTTGATTTAAAAGCATTTGAACTCTTCACTTCACACAGATCTTGGAGCTGCTGCTTGCCTTCTGCTCTGTGCTGGAGCTGCGTCACACCCTGCGGCAGGCGATACTGGAACCAGCTGGCTTGCCAGTCTCTGCAAACACCAGACTTGTGAATAGCTCCAAGAGTTTTGAACCATCTGTTGCATTGGTGCACTTGTCAAACCAACCATTGGAAGGCTCTGAAGACTGTTCAGGTCTAGCATTGCAACTACTCAAAGAGATTTTTGAGGTACAAAAACTGATAACTGAGTTTGAAGAGCTTTTTAGTAGCTCTCATTTTTAAATTATTTTTAAACAACTGTTATAATTTGGCATGAAAAATAGTACATGCAAAAATACCTGTAATAAAGTCCATTGTAAAACAGTTACGTTGAAATACACATACTTCAGTAAAACAAATGTTCTTTTAAAGACATACAGTATTTTAGAAGTATCTCTGTGTTGCAAGTGGAAGACAAGGCAGTTCATGAAGTCATGAGGTAGGTAGAACACTATCAGGATTCCTTTCTAGGACTTAGAGAATTTTCTGTTGCCTGTAAACTTCCTCCTCCAGTATGATGCTGGTTAACCATCTTAAACTTGAAATTGCAAGAGGCTGGGAAAGCAGGACACAGACTAGTGCAGGAACAGGTAGAGGTAAGCTTGGCTTCCTTGTGCTATGCTTTTAAATATTGACATAAGATGTCTTTCCAACAGGATGTTATTAATAATAAGAATGGTGAATCAGCGGAACAATTTGTGGATCTTTTGCTGCCTGTTCTTCTTGATCATCTTCAGATGCCAGAACAGATTGGGGATGAGCTATTAGTGAAGAAAAAGTGTGAAAGAATGGTCAAGACTATTAATGTCCTGACAAATATCCTTTTTATGTGCTTATTGGCAGCTGATTTATTATTCCTCCAGCATGATCTGATCTAAAATATTAAAAGTCATGTTCACCTTGGGTCACTTTAGTAGCTTCTAATGAAAATAACTGCTCTAATTTTACTTAGGAGTGTCATCTTGCAAGATCTAAAGTAGCTCTCTAATTTCTGTGAAATTATTTTGTAATATATTGGTGCAGGATAAAATGCTGTGGCTGTTCAACAGAACAGAAGCCCTTTGCAGATCAAAAACAAAGATGAGTGTTTTCAGTTGAAATTGTGAGAGGAATTTGGGTAGCTATCTTTTCGATCCATGTAGTATTGTTGCCTAGCTAAGTCAAGTGCAGCTCCCAGCCAAATATGATACACATTTAGATAAAGAAACAAGGAAAAATAATGTGGAAAGATAGTTTTACACTCCTCATTGAGTCCTTAGTGTCCACAGTAAGTTTATTAAGGAGGACATGACTGCAGGGTGTAGTCCTGCATCTAAGATGAGTTCTGTGGAGAAGTCTGTGCTGGATCACTTCTAGTACAAGTTACTAGTTATCTAACTGGGTCTTGTATTAGGGACTGTCTGGTCCCTGCCTTTTGTTCACTATGCTTCTTTATGCCACTCATTTTATTAAGGTTTGCCTTCACTCTGTTTCCAATAAGTGTGTGTATTAATTGAAAAGTGAAGCTTATTTGACTTGTTAGGCTTAAGTGCTTTATGTTGTTGGGTATTAAAAGCATTTTTAGAGGCTCTTTGCTTTGATGCCCTAGGTTTTGTGCCCTAGCCTCATTATTACAGAATGTTGGTTTTTAGTGCCAATACCTAGGCATAAGTATATTGAATTTATTCTTAACTCTGCCTACTGCTCTGCGGAGATGACACACTGAAAATGTGTGTCTCGAAGGTGCTGACTGCCAGCCAATGCACATGTCTGATAGAACATCAGTTTCCTTATTGTGGGATTGATACTGGTTTTGGGACAAAACTGGTGGACTCTAAAATGTGGTGAGCACACATATTTCTCTAAAATCTAATTAGGCATGACTGGTGTGAGAGTTGTGGTATTGTTGCAATGGAAAGAATATGGTAGTTGAAAGTACCATTTAAATCAATATTGGTATTAAATGAAAAGTATTTTGTGGAATAAAATGTAATCTTGCTGGTCAGTTCATTCAGATAATGTTTTTGGCATAAGCTGGAGATCCACTTATGTGGAATAATGACCTTAAACCTCATGAAGTAGTTCAGTCTGATCCAAGTAAAAGCTTACTAGAATGTCTTGTGGCATATGATTTCTCATTTTGATTTTATGCAAACTTGAGTTCCAAAATATCACACATCACTATGGGGAGCAGTTGTTGCACTGAAAATTAAATACATGTTTCTTTCAGCTCAGTGTCATTATAGCTAAAAGTCAGTATAGCTATAAGTTAGCTATAACTTATAGCTAAGCTATAGCTGTAACTTATTACCAGTTTCACTGGCCAAAACCCAGTGAAATACAGTTGTACTTAAAATTACACCCTCCTCACTTGCAACTGGAATTGGTGTTTTTGGTCTTCATTGTTGCAATCCTTGACATGCTGGAGAAGCTCGGGCACATGTTCAGGGAACTCAGTATGATCTCTTTGGTTCTAGCATTGTTGCCTTGCTAGATATATTTATTTTCTTTGTGAAGGTATTTATTAGGTTGTTTTTTTTTATTTATTTACTAGATTTGTCAGTGCTGATTTGACATATCTCACCTTTTTTTTTTTTTTCACCCAATTTGCTTTTCGATTTGGATGTTTAAAAGCAAACTTGCTACTGATATTATTTTGAAAACACTTGATCTTATGAGCAGATTGCAGCAGGATGTATCTGGTATGAAGGCCAGTTTGTACAAAATGTTACAGGTATGATTTTAAAATGCTTTATGAAATGTATCTGAAATAAAGTGTCCCTGCACTAAAGTAGTTTTAGTTATAAATGTTTTGCATGGTTATCTCTGAAGTGGTAAAGCTTCTAGGAAAATACAGTGCCTTGTGCACAATTCCTAAAGGTTGTTTTGCTATTAATTCTTCTAAAATAGCAGTAGTTTGCTTTTACTCTAGTCATTGGTTTTGGTAATGCATATGAAATCATGGTTTAGCTGCCTGGTAGTAATGATCCTTTTAAGACTGCATTATGACTGCAGTTTAAAGGTAGCAAACTAGAAAACAATTACCACAATTATGTAATCATTTGTGGGGTTGGTTACTATTTAATATGTACATCTAATTTAGAACTTTGCATGGCCAAAACAGTTTCTGATACCTATTGGTCAGATGACAGCATAATAAATTACTCTATAGGTGGAAAAGCAATTCAGACAGTCAAACACTTCTTGCTGTTTTGGAGATTTTTAATTCTAGAATGGGAATTGTCTAATTTAATGGGTAACAATGAGTGTTACAGTCCACGATTAGTCTTTTTAACTTCCCCTAGTGACCTTTTATGTTGAGTGTCAAGCACTTGAAAACTTGCAGGAATTAACTAGCCTCTTTACCTATTGAGTTGCCCTTAATGTAAAATGTGATTTCCAATACTCAGAAGTATAGACCACTTTTAAAATCACATCTTCCAAGGAGTTCAGGCTCAGAAACTTAGAAGGGCATACTTCAGAAGGTAACTTAAGTTTTGAATAAAACATTTCTGGGCTCATGGGCCTTCGTATTGTGATGTTTTGGTAATTTGTGTTTTGTCGGTTTTTGGGTTTTTTTGTTACCTGCTGTATCTTGTTTTGACCAAACTAATTTCTTTTTTAGGATCAGCGCTTGATTACACCTTTGACATTTGCTTTAACATCAGACCATGGAGAGCAGGTCCAAGTGGGGCTTAAAATCTTGTTTAAAGTTGCACCTTTACCAGATTTTCCTGCCGAATTGTAAGTATTTTTGTGATACTCTGGTTAGATTTGACATTTTTATTGGCTTAGTGATATTCATGTTTTTTGGAGTACTATTTTCAGATCATCAGAGATGGAAACTTTAGAAAAATTGTCTTGTTTCTGTTTTATGTGCACTTACAAGACCACAGTGATCCTGGAGGCCAGAGAAAGCCATTGCAGTGCTGATGGTGTTTATTTTGTGTCAGATCCTAGAGAGCAGAGGAGCAATTGACTCCTGTCCCTGTGCTCATTTGTCTGAAATCTGTGCTTGGAACAATCTGACTGTCAGATTGCTTTCTAATGAACTCTGTCAGATGTGTCATTCTTCAGTTCCTAAAGCTTTGCTCACTCTTGCAGTATCTTCCAAAAAAGAACAGATTAAGATAAGACACAAGCAGATGGCAGTTCAGGTAATATTTAAGGTGGTTTAAACAATGGAAAAAGTATTGAGAAACTCTGATGGAGTCCTTATTTCCGTAGATATAATAAAATACAAAACCAATATTTTTAATTGTATCACAACCTGGAGTTGAACCTGACAGATGTCAAGGCATCAAGAAAGACCATTACATCAGCAGCAAAAGCCAGACATGAAAATGTGTGTCTTTCTGCTGAGTGGAGCAGGAGACCTGTTGACAAAGGGCATGGAAAAGGCTGACATACTAAATGCCTTGTTTGGTCTTCACTGTTGAGGTTTCCCAAAGGCGGAGCAATGTCCCTGAGAGCAATGTGAAAGCCTAGAGACAAGATGTACCCTGGGTGGCACAGACTGCAAGAGCTGAGCTTGCTTAGTTTTGGGAAGACTTGCAGGGTTCTTATCAGTGTGTTGAAATGTCTGATAGAAAAGAAAAAAAGAGACAGAGCCAGGCTTCTCAGTGGTATCCACTGACAGGATAGATGTAGGCACAAACTGAAATAGGCACAACAAAAAACCTTTTAGATTTCTTTAAATATCAGAAAAGAAACCCTTTAACTGTAAGGTGAAGTCAAACTGGAAAATGTTGCCCAGAGAGGTTGTGGAGTCTTCATCCATTGAGAGAGTCAAAATTACAAGGCATAGTCCTGGGCAACCTGCTAAGAGCAGGAGAGTTGAACTAGGTGGCATGTCCCTTTCAATCTTAATTATTCTATCATTATATGGGTTTGTGGATATAAGAAATATTTTTATAGCAGCCAGTAATGAATAGTCTGGCTGAAAGAATGAAGGATCTGTAAAATCAAATACGTCTGGAATTGTACAATGTAACAGCCAAATAGCATGTCTATAAATGCAAGTTAAAAATAAGCTATGCTCTCTTAGGAAGCAGTTGAGATGACACTTCAGTGAAGTGGTTGGGATAGTTTAGTAATTGAGGAATTCATCAAGAGCAAAAAATTGTAACTGGTGCTTCTAAAATCAGCTCTTGATTTATCATTCTTGTTTGAAACATGTTATTGGTACCTGCCTTGAAAATACCAGCCACAAATTACATACAGACACTTGAATATAGGTGCTGAAATGACTTTTTTCTAAGTTTTTGAGTTCTCTTCCCTATACAAATTTAAACAGATTGCATTTTTATCTGCATACTTAAATTTTGGTTAAAACTTAAAAAATCACATGTGCTGTATGCAATACAGTCTTGTAAAATAGAATTGCAGACAGTGAAAAACTGAGGTTTATTGGTTGCACTCTGACTTTTCTTGGTTCAATCTTATTTTTATGCCAAATAAAAATTCTTACTAATGCTTTCTCCATCTTCTTTGAGACAAACAGTGGCCTAGTTAATTTGAATAATAACAGGTGAACTAATCTGTTTCTAAGGTTCACAGGAGATATGATCTGTTGCTCAAAAAGAGCTGAGCACTATGCCCTTTCTGATGAGATTCTGTATTTTTCTGTAAAGGTTAGCCACAATACAATTTTTCCCCTTTTTCTCTGGCCAGTTTGAGCACATGCCCAACACACATCTTCATAAGGTGTGATAATGCAAATGTGACTGTACATTTTGTTATGAAATCAATCTCATCTCCAATCCTTGCAGTTCTATTTGTTGTGTCATTAACAGCCTCATGTTTATACAGGCTGGGTGAAAGCATTGTAGCAAATAATGCCTACAGACAACAAGAAATGCAGCACAGAGCAAAGAGAATCCAAATGCAGGCACCTGTGACCAGCACTACTTCAGTGAGGTGTTCTTCATCCTATCCTTCAAGTAATGACTCCAAAGCTTCAAATATTGAGGAATTAATACAAAAACTTCATACTGGACTAGAGGTTAGTAGGATTTATATACCCTGGTGGAACATTTGACACTTTTTTCACTGGGAGGGATGGAAATTAAAATCCAAGTGCCAGAGTACTGTGTGTGGAGCAGTTAAGTTTGGTTTAGATTCCTGCCTGTTTGGAACGTGCTCTCTGCTGAGCTACACCTGAAGGTAGAGCTCCTTACTGAGGGCCCTCTCCAATGGGTTTGGCTCAGAATCATCTTAGCTGTCAGATGTGGAGGCAGGAGCCAGGTACAGTCCAACTGCCTAGACTTGCAGGGACATACCAGGAACCTCCTCCCTCTCCTTCCTAAGAAATGGCCTGTAACAGGGTAGAGGTGCTGTGCTACTTTAGAAATGTATGGTGCATCTCTTGTGTGCCTGAACATGCATACTGACATTCTCCTTTTGTTGGCTGTAGCTAACTCTAGCATTTGCAGTTCAGCTTTTGTAGCCTTCACTGTTATTATTTCAAAAGGCAGTTTTTGCTTCCCTCTGCAGCAGCTTGAATTGTGAATGAAGCACCCAACCAGGCACCACATACTGTGTGCTGCTTTGTGGGCCCTCCTGGCAGATACTGAATATATCTCCTCTTTCTCTTTTCTGTTCAAAGCAATTTAGCTGCTTCATAGCTGCTTTGGACTGAGAGATGGATTGTTGATTCTGTTTTCTTTTGGCTTAAAAGAATGGTATGCAAATTGGGAAAAGGAATAGAATGTTTCTTGGTAACAGCTTGATATCTGTATGAGTGGTATTGCCTCCAGCCTTAGCTTTGCAACTTTTATCTCTTTGTTGTAACTGATAAAAGCAAAACTCAGAGGACTACATCTCAGAAGTGTCAAAATAACAGTGAAAAAGGTCAGGTGAGTTTTCCTTGGCTTACTTTTTACTCTGCCACTGGATGCTCCCATTGATCATTCTTTTCAGGACTGCATGACAGTCTGTAGGTGCATTACTGTGTTTATATTAATGCAAATCAAAGGAAGCACAGCTGCCTACACAATACTAATGCAGCAGCTTCACAGTAATGTGACAGATTGTAAACCTGATTAAATTTTCTTTTTTTTAGGGAAGAAAGTTGTTGATGAATTGTTGAGTGATTCTTTTCTTAGACCTTCTAATTAGTAATTCAAAAGCAATATACACATTCACTTAAAATATCCAGTACTTGAGTTCTTTCTGTGTATTGTGTGAAGCTCAAATGCTTGTAAAAACACAATCGAGAGAACACTTTTCATAGTATCACTGTTCAGAGAGAATGAGGGTAATTTCATTCTTAGAGTAATTTTTTATTTCCTTTAGATATTTTAAGTTTGCAGTAGGAAAATAAACTACTTGTTTCATACTTTAGGGACAGAAAAATGAGCTGAGAACCAGAGCTACACAGGGTCTCCTGTTAATTTGCAAAAAGCATTCTTACATGATGGTTCAGGCTGGTGTAGAGATAATGGCTTTTCTGTAGGTGTTCAATGTATGAACAGCTGGCATAGTTTGCACTTGGTTGTGCATCAGCATTTGTGAAGAGCTGCTCAGAACTGGTGTTGTAGCAGCACTGCCTAAGAGAAAATATCCTGAAATCACCAAGTAGCATTCTCACTTGACTCAGGCAAATACTTTAATAATACTTTTAAACACTTAGGACTTGTTGTACCATACATGGTGCATTTCCTCTGGTAAGTCACTGGGTTAACACAGTAGATTTTGTAGGTCCTCAATAGTATCCTTTCTAGTATCCTAGAAAAACTTTCCTGGGCCTTTTCTCTTAATATGTGTGAATATATGAACAAGGAGTTTTGCATTTCAGTGGTTCAATGTATGAGCCATATGCATTTTGTACTGTTAAGCTTAGGGCAGATTATTTTAGGTGTCCTATGAGGGGCCTGCTAATTCTCCAGCAAAGAATAGACCAAGGGGAATGATTTTACCTTTTTATATGCTGGACTGATAGTCTTCTGCAGATGACTCCTATTAAGCCTAACCAGTTCAGTTGCTCACAACTTTTCTCAAGGGTCAGGTGAATATCTTTGAGTAGATAGCCTCAGATACAAAAATAAGAATTTTTGTCTAGTGGCAGGGGGAGTTCACAAAACTACTGAGCCCTTCAGGGACATGTTACCTAGATAAGTAAATAGAAATTTCCAGTATCAGTAACTGGAAAATGTTTCCACAGATGAAGGAGCCCTTGGCTGATGTGAGGATATCTGACATAATGAATGTGTACGAGCAGAAGCTGTTGGCATTAGCAGTGAGTACAGCCTAATGTGCATGGGGACGCTGCAGTTGGTACTTTCAGAAAATGTTAATGAGAAATGTTCTCCCTATATGCAGTCTAAAGAAACGAGGCTGCAGGATCTGCTGGAAGTCAAGGCAGTAGCTCTGGCTCAGGCTGAGAGGCTGATGGCTCAGTACCGGTGTCAGAGAGCCCAGGCTGAGTCTGAGGTGAGTGGAGGAGCTTCAAGGTGGGACTGAGTAATGATTATCTGGGTAGCTTTAACTGTGAGCACATGTGAAAACTATACTGCTTATCTGTGCTTGCAAGTTAGGGCAGTCATAATTTTCACTATGAACACCCTGTTTACCTCTGCACTGCTTTTTGGCACAGTTTTCTTTAATGTCCTTTCCCTTACAAGAAGTCAGCAAAACCAGCCTGCTCTGCTTATTATAATTTGTTAACCATTAGTGGTAATTCAGCAATATTAAAAAGTAATAAATCCACTTACTAGAATTCTCTGTCAAATTTGCTGGTGTATAAAGAACTGTTTCATGTTTGTCCCTTTTGATTCACTGGCCAGAGATGAACTTTCAAATAAGCTTTTGGCAGTATTTGAGCTGCATATTGAAAAGTGAGAATGATTTCTATTCTTTAAAGGTTATATTAAAGATTGTGCTACTGGTTACTAAATCCACAACTAAAATGTATCATCTTTTACTTTGTTCTTCCCTCTTCCCTCACCTTGTTTATAAATGGAGCTAAAGGAATGTAGTGAACCAATTAATTTGTAGTAGATACTAGGTGAGAGAATTTATTTTTTTAATGTAGATGGTGACATTTTGGTGTTAGATCTATGGCCTCAAGCGTGCCTAATACAACTTGAAAAACAGAATTCCCTTTAATGTATGTGGCTTTTCTTTTACTTTTTATTTGGGGGTACCTTTCCACTCAAAGGCAAGGACTCTTGCTGCAATGCTGAAGGATGCAGAACGAAAAAATGAAGAGCTTGATGATTTGCTGAAGGCTCAACAGGTAGAATCTGAAAGAGCACAGACTGATATTGAACAGCTCTTTCAGCACAACAGGAAATTGCAGGCAGTTGCTGAAGAACATGAAAGACTAAAAAAATCCACTCTTGAGCTCCTTCAAAGGTAAGATATACAGGACCTCTAAACAAATATTTCATATGAAAAGAGTTCTGATGCCCTTTACTGTGCTAGGCACATTAGAAGAGCAACATTACATGCTATGTCATGTTTTTGAATGAAAAGTTCATTTTTTTTCTTCTGTATGCTTATCAACAAGGTCTTTCAGGAACTCAAATTTATGTTACATTTAACATACTTAAATTTATTAATATATTAACATTCAGCTTTCAGTGGAATGAGAACTGTAGGTGCTGATGGTCCAGTTCAGGAAATAGCACAAGCTTTGTATAAAAAGAGAGCATTGTTCTCTAAGACACAGCATTACAATGCTTATTTTCTGTTAGCATTATATCATGCTCTCAGTGTCTGTCTTTGATTTACATGCTGTCTTGATGACATGCTTGCAAGAGTTCTGGAGAAGCAGCTAATATCAGTGTGTTTGCATAATGTAGGACTTGGTATTGTTGGTCAAGCCTGTACCAAATTTGATTCAAATTAGGTAAAAGTGAGGTATGGAGAAAAGAGACACATTTTGTGTCCTCAGTTATTTATAAGCATTATTTCTTTGGGATCTTAAGCTAAAAAGAATCTATGAGAGACACAAAGTATATAACGATAGAAAATATTTGAAATTAGAATGTGCTTTGAAAGAATAAAGGCTTGAGAGAGCTTGGACTTCTCAACTCACATGAGCTGACACTAGGTGTCAGCAAGGCAAAGAAGCTGGTAACATTGAGATCAAGTTTCTTGCTTAATAATGAGAGCAAGCATTAGTAGACAATTTTGAAAGTATATTGCTGCCAGTAAATGAGTCATTGAGGATGGAAAATCTATAAAACTTTTTTCCATTGCTAGATTTCTTGAATAAGTGTTTAGTATGGTCATTGTGGAAGTGTCTCTATTTTTGCTTGAATTATAGGCAGTCATACACTTTGTGAACATGTATTGTCTAATTAATGGTAAATAAATCAGCTCAATCTAGTATCTAACAGTTTTAAATTCTCCAAACTAGGAACATAACTTTCTAATCCTTACAGTATGTTTCTAAAGCAAAAGCTTACTTTTTAAAACAACCTTCATACTTCAAATATGAAATATGTTCCTTAAAAACAATCGACTGACATCAGGGCATAGAATTTGCCTTTTGGTAGAAAGGGAGGAAAATGTTTCTTAGAGCATGAAATCTGCCTCAGAAGCCTGTATTAATTACACACTGCATTGTCTTCAGTATGTTCAGTTTCTAGTATCACAAGACAAACTCATAGAAGGCCATAGACCTTAAGGGACCCTTAAAGAGTCCCTTAAAAAATGTCTGACATACACAAACTGTTATAGGTAAGCTCTTTGCAAATTTCTAAAGGTATTTATGGTTTTGTCAGTTCTTAAGTTTTCTGCTGGAGGAAGGTTGTTTCCTGTTCATTAATGCTTCAGAATATGTAAGGGATCCTCTGAAGCTTGGCTGGTTTGTTTGTTTGTCTGTTTTCTTCTTCCCAGTCAAGCATTTGGACAGGCTGCCCAGGGAAGTGGCTGAGTCACCATCCCTGGGGTATCTGAAAGATGTGTAGATGGGGCATTTAGGGACATGGTTTAGTGGTGGACTTGGCAGTGCTGCATTAATGGTTTGACTCAATGATCTAAAGGGTCTTTTCCAACCTAAATGATTCTATGATTCTGAGTATGTTTATTAAAAAAAAAAAAAAAAAAAACAACAGTCCTAAAAAATCTAACACACTAACAGCCAGCTGTCACCAAAAAACACTCAGCTGAACACCCCCCCTTCCAAAAAAATGCCTTGCTTGTCCCTTGAGTGGGATGATTGCACAGATCATATCAAATATTTTTATTTGGCAAACTGTTAAAGTGAAAGCTCTCTTCAAAAGCAATTACATTTCATTTGGAGGTATGGAACAACTGAAAGACAATATAAAGATCTACAGATTACTGCAATTCACTAAATAAACAAGTGGAAGCAATGATGAAATAAATTAATCACTCAAGCAGCAGAATGATAGATCAGTCTTTTAAAGCAAGTCAAACAGTAAAACTAAATAGCACTTCACTCTCAGTTTTTCAACTGTGCTGTAACATCTGAGAAGTGAAGTTAGCCAAAGATGCTTCAGAGTTGGTTTATACATTTATGTTTGATGAGCATCTGTAATACAGACTTTGGTGGTTTATTTTATTTGTTCCTTAATTGGTTGGAGGTGGTGAGGGAATATCAACAGACTTCAGCAATAGTAGGAAGAGAAAGATGATGACCCAATTCTTAGGTGCACTTGGGAGAGTATGGAGGTGTTATTTTGGTTGTTGTTGAATTCTTAGATGCTTTTGTCACACAAAAATTTCTGTGTATTTTCTTTTAGCTGGCATGTTTTCTCTTAATGTTGTCAAGTTGGAGGAAAAAAAACCAAAACAACCAACCCTACTCAATGAACATATTTGAAAGTTATATAAGTCATGATGGGTCATATTCTGTCTGTGGTATAAAACATCTTTTTCAATTATAAAACTAGCATTACCTATGGCTTCTTGAAGAGTTATTTGTCATTTTTAATGCATTAAAATAGAGGTCTGATATACCTTTCACCAATGTAACTAAGGGAATATAGACTCTTCTTTGACAGATTTTATTCAATACATAACTTTTCAGAAGATGTCTTTAAAATATATTCCTAGGCAGGCCTTGTATTCAGCTGAGATTTAAAATGCTGTTCTTGGTTTTACTTGGAAAGTTCACTTCACCCTTCCAGGCTCTTGACTTGTCAGTAATCAGAGCAAACTCAAACTGCCTTGAGTTCTGATTCAGAGGGAAAATTTCCATTCTGATACGTTAGTTTGCTACTGAATAAATGTGGCTCCTTACATTAAATGGTGCAAAATGCAGCTCAGGGTAATTGGGGAGATATTCTGATGAAAGCTGACCCTTGTTAATGCCAGTCTGGAGGAGCAGTTTATTATATAGATACTCTTGAACTGCCACTCTCCACAGAAATGGTGACACTGGAAATATATGTCCCTCCCTCTTGCTAGAGGCTGCAGCTTAGAAACTGGTAGATAGGAAGTGGATAAACAAGTAAACAAGAGTGACAGCAGATGCCATCTAATCAAGGAAAGTGGCAAGTAGAATATGCCTTAGAAATTATTCTGTCTGGTAATGGAAAAAGTATGATTAGCTTCAGAGAGTGTTGAGTGCTCATGTTCGAGCTGTACTGCTGGTCAATGCCAGTACCTCTGTATTAAATGAGTGTGGAAACTGAGGATTACACAAACTAGTGAGAACTGAGGCAGGTCTGTACAAAAGCTTTGTCACTGTCTTATGGTTATGGTCACTTTTGAGTGCTGTGTGACAATCCAGGAGATGTTCAGATTGTGTGTCTAGGATAATACCTGAAGCATGTTTTACTAATTGCATTGTCTTTTCAGGAGCATAGTAAGAGCTAAAACCCCAGCATCCTTAATCACTAATGGCAATAGGGAACTTTTACTTGTATTGAATGGCAATTTTAGTTCTGACACAGTATTTTGACTTATTGGTGGCTGCTTTTGGTCTTTGTGCTCCAGGTATCAGCCTTTTCAGTAGTTCCTAACATGATCAGAGAAGGCCAGTGACTGGGTCATGGTGGCAGGAAGGAAATAAGATCTATCTCTGCTCACAACATGCACATTCATAGGTTTGATGATTTGAAGTGCTTGACAGCAACAGGAAATAATACAAAAAATCATTTTAGCTTCTTAGGGCAGGGAAATGGTGGCATATCTCATTTTAATCATTACAATTTATTTCTCTGCACTTTTAGGAATGCTGCACAGTTACTAGAAAGTGAACATCACAGAAATGAATTACAGCAACAGCTACAGGAGAGAGATGGCACAATAGCAAGTAAGTTACCTACCTAAAGGTCACTGAAGCTAGAGAACTAACTGTATTAACTAGATGTTGTTATTATGGGCTCTAGATAAGCTGCTATAACTTACTGAACAACTTGTAGACCTTAAAAGTTGGGCACCGATACATAATTTAATAGTTGAATGAAACAAAAACAAATTTTAATCTTTTAGAAAGTAAGCATGAAGTTCATTTCCCAGATTTGACAGACTTCTCTGCATACTGTGTTCCTTCAGGATCTTCTTGCAACATGTCCATTAGAACTATTTTATGTATGAAATGCAAATTAGAAGAGCTTAATTTAACTCTCTGCAAATGACTGGAAGCAACCACTGAAGTTTAGCAGTAGGTGGCACTGCTCAGTAATTCAATTAGCAGCCATGTTGAGTCTCAAAAAAAAATTAATAAAAGCCCCTTGTTTCCCAGGCCAATGCAGTATCTGTTTTCTAAGTTTGGCATCTGATCTTTTTATGTGTTAATTTTCTTAAGCCTTGCAACAGAATATAAATGTTCTGGAAGAAAAAATAAAAGCTCAGCAGAAAGAAAAAATAGATATGGAGCAAACTATCGATACTCTTAGAAAGGAATTAAGTGAAACACAGCAAGCAAGGGAAGAACTGAGTGTCAAGGTAAGGAATTACCTGATCCTGCATTCCTGAGACTGGAGTTTTAGGTATCTGTTTAATTGATAGAGGTAATTCAGTATTTTGGTGTTTAAATATCTAAAGACCCTAGAGTAGCTGATATAGTAGTGGACAAGAAGAAATTCTCTCAACTTTAATTGTGTACCTCTTGAGTTTTAAGTCAGGATCAAGTTCTAATGAGACTCTGTGAGGCATGGTGTGTGAATACATAATGTTGGGAAGGGAAGAAACCCACCAAACCTGTGGCATAATGTTAAATAACAGAATGTAACAAATTCCTCTTCAGTAGTTTTGACTACTGAAAATGTAGGTCAGCTTGCTTTCCTTCCCTTTCTCACGTTGAATTAAGGTACATGTCTATACACCAAAATGTGCCTGGGTTCTTTTGATCATTGAAATTCTAACAAAAAAAAAAAAAAAATTTTATTTCCAAGAAAAAGAGTCTTCTTTCAAAAGGAGATCACTTTGGCTATGCCAAGTTAACAGGGTAATGTTAACAAAAAAATCAAAACCCCCCCCAAAAAAAAACAAAAAAAAAACCAAAAAACCAAACCGAAAACTAAGCCCCTGAAGCTTCAGTGCAGCCTACATGTCCTTGACTGCAATTAAGACTCCCTCTAAAATCACAAAGCAGAGATTCATTTTTCATGCCAACTGATCAGCAAATGCAAAGTTTGCAGTCTGACAAGCACACTTACTGTATTTCCATTTCCTGGAAGCAAAAGCTTAATCTCTTCAGGCAATATCATTCAGTATATAGCAAATATTTCTTTTGTTCTCAGTAAATATTTACTGTTGTGGTGCTTGAAATGAAATGTAGATGGTAGCACAATGATAACAAAGGAGTTGGTGCTTTCCCATGGTATCCAACATTTTGCAGTGTGGCAGTAGCTGTAATCACTCATGTGCACCAACTGTACATCTGAGGGATATTTCTGAAACAAGCTCGTTTTAAATCTGCTTTTTAATTACTTGCTTAAGTTCACTACCAGGCCACTCAGCTTTCACTGTATTACATGGTTTTCAGTTGGTAATAGAGGAAACTATAACATTTTTTTTGTTTCTGCAGGCATCTTCTCTGGAAGTTCAAAAATCCGAGTTGGAAGGCTGCTTGGCAGAAAAAGAAGCACTCATAAATCTGCAGAAGGAAAAATTGGACATACATACCAGTGTGATTGCAGCAATTCACAAACTAAGTGATGGCAAGCAAAGTGCAGAAACAGTGAACCTCAGTTTGTAGGGTTCTGTTTGCTGTGCTTGATGAGTTCTGTTAAGTGAACTAAATTATAGGGGTGACTGTCAGCTTTGTACACAGCACAGGCAGTTTGGTTGCCTTTTTGCATATTGCAATTACTGCTTAGAAAGGTCAGCAACAAAATAAAATGTTATCAGAGCTGCTGAATTAAGGGGTTTAGTTGGAGTTCTGCAAACTCAGTTGGGGAAAAAAACTGTCAGTGTAATGGGTTAAACACTTTTAGTGTCAAAATAAATTTGCAGACATGGGTGCTTTCCCTTTAAATGTCTTGGTCATGGGGAAGGGGTAAGTAAATGTTGGGAGGGGTTTTGTTACTTGGGTTTTTTTCTCCTTTTCTACCAGAAAGTGTTTGAGTTAACTAATTCTAGTAGGAAATGCCAAGCATGTTAATAACTAAATTGATAAATGCCAGTTTGACTTTGTCAAATGGTGGAATGGGAGGGGGAATACATCAAGCTGCTCACCAGAGTAAGGTGGCAATAAGGTCTACAGAAAATGATAAATTAATCTTTAGCATTTATGTGATGGAATCCAGAGTATGTAAATATTGATTTCACCCCCCCCACCCCCACCAGAAAAATGTACTGTTTCAATATGCTATTCTAAGCCAAGTGTAGCTAAACTCTGGGTTACATAGAAAATAAATGCATCAAGACATTTTGACAGCATTTCTGTGTTCTTTTGTGGCAGTGTTTTTCCAAATGGTAATGAATAGTGGCTAATGGAACTAACAAATAAATTGATGTCTGTTTAAAATTTTGTTTTTTAAAAACATATGTCTCTCAATACTGTAAAAAAAAAAAAAAGAGATTTTTGTACTTAATTAATGCAAAGAAATACCTGTGTAAGGGGTGTTGCTTCTAGGCATTGTGATATTACCAGTTCTGTAATTAAAATAGTTCTGTAATAAAGTTCCCAGGTAGTGCTGTTTTCATATTCATGTTATGTGCCTTATCCACTGCACTATTGCACTTTTTTTCTTTTCCCCACAGGCTCTGTAATTTAGTGCAGGGAGAAGCTGGCACCAGCACAAAAAATACTTCTGCAATAGTCGATTTTTAATTATCTGTCAGGCTGTCAATTGCATGTTCTACAAGCAGAGACTTTTGTGCTGTCTTAGTTCTGAGCACTGTCTGTCACATCTCAGTATCGGGCACTCCGGTGCTTCTTGTCTGAAAGTAGCTGTCTTTTATTCCACATAATCTGGAGAAAGTTTCCCATTTAACATGTGGTTCTGTATGGCTTTGTATGTTATTTCATTCATGCCTAAAAATACCCTTAAATGTGTATTTATTTTTCTGTTTTCTATGCTCTCTGTTTCACTTTTGATGTCCTTACTGGGAATGATGACACAATAAAGGGTTTGGAGTTGATGCTCTTCAATTCATCACCTGTTGTGTGTTGTCTTCATTTTAGCACTCCTCTTTAGTCTCGACTGTGCATCCTTTGATCTTTTTGTATTTCCCTGCTAGTGGTTTATTTTAGCCTTTCAGTTTCTCCTTCTTGTCCATCTCTTCACCTCTCTTTCACCACTGATTCCAACTGACAGTGCCTGCCATTTGCTTTTCCCCGGTGAAATCTCTTTTATTGAAATTGGGAATCTTTCCTTTTGTGCTGTTTGGATCTATTAGTGGAGTCTTTCCCACCCCTAGGATAAAATAGTCTGTGGAATGGTTTTCTTACTTTTGAATTAAGTCCAATTGATCATCCTCCCCTATATAGAAGATGTAATGGAAAACTTTACCTGAACCAATTCCTGTCATTGTCCCCCTCACCCCACACTTATCTCTGTAATAAACAAGGCAGAGTTTTTTAGTAGTAGTGGTAGTAGTGTGGCCAAAATATCTGCTGTGGTATTTGTGCTGGCACATGCAACTTCATGTAGACAAAAAACCTATTCCACTCAACCTTATGAAACTTCAGCAGGAATTTTCTTAACTTCAGGATTAAATTAATATCCTGTACAAACAGGAATTTGGAGCTTTACAAACTGAAGGCATGGCCTTGCTCTAGGAAGTATAAAGTGATAAAGTATAAATTATTAACATTTATAAAGTATAAATGTTAAGGGCTGGTAAAAAGCCCTGTTTAAAGCAAGCAATCTAATGAACAGCTGCTCTGATCTTGGACAGATTTTTCAGGAATTACTTAGTGCTCATGGTGACCAGTAGGATTTATTTAATGATGGTGTAAACAAAACATAAAATTCTGAATAAAGAAATCTAGAAACCACATATGCTACAGATTCAGCAGTGCTGAAAGTGATAGCTGCTGGTCAGGATTTATGCCAGCTCTCTTTTTATGTTTACAGTTTTCCTGAGGGACGTGTCTAGAATTTTCTAGCAGTGCACTTTTCTGGAATAAGTGGAGGCCAAAAACGGGATAGACTCCACTGAAATTGTGACATCCAGCTTTATAGGTTTGGTTCAACATTCTTGTGAAGATGTAAGAAGAGGTTCTCTGGTCCTTTTTCTTAGAGTTTATTGTTAGCAGCCAAAGATGAGGTATTTTTAGGCTAGTACTTATTTCTCAAAAAATGCTTTCAACCTTGCAAAGTTGGTTTATATATAAATAAACTCCTCCATGCATTCCCATCTGGTAACTTAAAATCTTCAGATTTGTTCACTGAAGCATGCTTCCTTTCCATCTCCCTCACCAATTTCCCTGCTGCAGAGCGCTGAAATTGGAACAGTCTGCTAGCTTTGTGTCCCCAGTGACACATCCTTTTCTCTCTACCCTAGTCCAATCTAAATTGGATCCTTCCCTAGGAGTGCAGAGAAATGAGGGGCAAATAGGCTGAGTGATGCCACACTGGAAGCTGTATTCAGAGCAGATGTAACAAAGCAGTGAGAGTCTCATTTTTATGCCCAGTTTCTGTCTGAATCTGCTGTGCTTGAGGTTCTCATGGCTGCAGTATGTTAAACCTTTCCTAAGGAACAACCTCGTGTCCCTTCTGAGCCACTGCTCAGACCTGAGATTGCCTTGGCTGCAGAGCTGCTGGGATTTTGTCTTGCTGTGAATAATTCCTGTCAAGGGCAGTTGCTAAGAGCCAGTCAGTCCATGTTATGTGTTTCATGCTCAGCATTACAGATGAACCTCTCTGTGTTTCCTCTTTTGCCTGCATGACTTTGACCATATGACTTTTTAACTGAGCTTTCAGTGCAAGTTTGAGTGCAGAAGGTGGAGCTCAGTTTGGGTTGGGATTTTTTATGGCCATTAGCTTTTTGTCTAAAAATGGGAATTCAGGAGTTATGGGATCCCTTATGTTATATGTTGCACCCAGTGTATAGTCTGTCTTCCTCACCCAATATTTTTGGGCTGTGTTGGGTGTTGAGCAAACGTTGCAGCAAAATATGGAAATATGCAAATTGGAATGGAAATATGCAAACTCTCGGTGCTTAACTATTAAAACTTTTGTGGTGTTGTACCATCTTTCCAGGAGAAATGTGTAAGAACATCACTGCATGCTGCATTGCCCTGCCAGTGTCTTCCCTTCTCAGCAGAAGGCTTGTGGAGAAACCCCTAAAAAGGGAACAGAACATAATGAAACTATCAGGATACAACTTTCTCCTTTAGGTAGCCTTTTGTACTTTCCATACAGAAGAGACAAACAAAAAAGAAGGTGTTGGGGGTAGGGCACCTGGCTGTGAGGAAGGGTCTGTGGGTTCACCTCCCATGGAACTTAAGTGTGGCACTGCACGCTCTGGCCTTGCTTGGAAAATGGACTGCAGGGCACAAAAGGGACTATTGTAAATGCAGGTGAACCCTATGGGAAGAAATGACCATGTCTGACTCAATTCAGAAGGCTGAATGATTTCTTTATTATAACTATGCTAAAATACATTAATATACTATATAAAAGGAGGATACTAAAACTACATACTACTTTCTCTAATTATATCTCTAACTCAACTCGTGACCCTCTCTGAGAGCCCAGTCCCAGGTGGGTTGAATTGGCCATCAGGCTCAAACCATCCTCACCAGAATCCAATCAAGCACTCACTCCAGGTAAACAATTATCCAAACACATTCCACATGGGAAAAACAAGGAGCAGAAACAGAAACCGTTTTGTCTTTCATTTCTCTCTGTGCACCTCTATGAAACTCCTGAGGGAGAGAACTGTGCTTGCCACAAGGGACCACAGGTGAGGCAAGAAGTCTTAATGGCAACAGGAAGTATTTAACCTCTTTGTATCAACTGTGCATCATTGTAAAAGTGAATCCAAAGATGCTGAGACAATGGCTGAGCCTTTGCACGACCTCGAGGAAAGCAGGTAATGAAACATTTTATTTGGTGTATGGAGGCAGGAAGGAAGAAGGTCCACAGGGTCTTGAAGTATGTTTGGGGGTGATCTGAAGTATCTTTTCAGCCAGTACCTAATCCATGTGTGATACAAAGCTCCCAGCTTTCTCCTTAAAGAAAGAAGTGACAAGCCAAGGGACAGCAGGTTACTTGGGAGTGGGCATTGTTCTCTTGCTGTTTAGATGGACTTTGAAAGCACTGGTTGCTTGCAGGGCATTAAAACAGCTTTTCCTTCTAGAGCTCTGCTTCAGAAATGATCAGTGTTTGAGAAATGTGATGGAGGTGGCTTGCACATCCCTCATTGCAACGTGGCAAGTCTAGAGAGACAGCCAGCACAGTTTTGTTTGTTTTTCTGAGACATTTCCAGCATTGCTTGGACTGGGATGAGGAGTACAAGGAAAGGGCAAGATTGTGTTACCAGGTCCTAAGATAGGAGTGAAAAACTCCCAGATTTCTTTGGATGTATCATCCTATCTTTGGCTGTATTTGACTACAGTTTTCTCTGAAAGTCGTTGGCTCATGTTACAGAGACTCTAGTCCAGCCTGTGAGTTTTCACTGAATAGGCACTGATTAAATTCCAAAGGATCTTGTACATGTTTGGAAAGGTTATCTCTGCATGCAGAGCAAGCACCTCATAATGCTGGGATCCCCCTCATAGCAGGGGAGGCCAGCCTTTGATTTACCCATATGTAGCTAAGCCTTCACATGAGAGAACAAATCCTGTACTGGTTAAATGTTTCTTTAGAGTAACTGAGCTAACAATCTGGCTTAGGTTTCTTACAGTGTATTAAGTTATTAAAAACTAATTTTGTAAGCAAACAGCTTTTGGTTTGACTCAGTTTTACTTCAGAATAATCTATCTGGGTGTAATATTT